ACCAGATTTGCTGGCCTGATGCAGCCTGGTAAGACCCCTGAGACTGTGGCCTCTAGCCACCCTTCAGGTCTGGAATTAAACTCACTCATGTGGCTTCCAGCCAAACAATAGACAGGCATATAAGGTGAACATTTACATCAGGTAGATAAACTACTTGGAATGATCAATCACAGGAGAATAGAAGGGCAGTGTATGCACAGGGAGACAGCTCGGAGGCAGGAGTGCATGGGAGAGAAGAACACAAGGAAGAGGTAACTGTGGGGAGGGAGTGGGAAGAGAGCTACTACACTGTGGGGAATTGCAGTCAGCGTCATGAAACAATTTTTGTGAAGTGCTGTATGGAAAATAAATTTGCTCCATAAACTTTCACTCAAATCACAATAAAAATTAAAATAATAATAAAAGATCTAAGTGCTAGGATAGGAAGTTACAAGACCCATTTGTGGTCTGGAACAGCAGGTGATTTGACCCTGGTTTCACAGTGCCACCATGACTGCACAGTGGGGGACAACAGGCCCCTGTGGATAAACTTATGCCCTCTAGTTTGCCACCACCCTGGGCTCCCTTGACTCATTTTCCTTAAATGTGGGGGCCTGCAAGCATGTGAGCTTCCCATTTCTGCTTCAGTTTCTCCAGCATCCCTCCCAGCAGCTGAGACAGCAGTTCTCACTGTCAGGCCAACAGGAGGAGAGGAGCAAGCAAGCAGACCAGCTCTTCCCTCTGAGGACCTAGGAACCCTGCATAGAGGGGAATGGGCCACTGATGTGGACGTGGAGCTGTGTGATATCCCCAGTCACACATGCTCACTACGGTATGTTCCTCAGAATAGAAAGCTAGTAACTCACTGCTGTTGAGTCTATTTGACTCATAGCGACCCCTCCTTGGGTTTCCAAGGTGTTATCTCTATGGAAGAAGATTGCCTGGTCTTCCTTCTGAGGAGTGGCTAGTGGGTTTGAACCACCAGCCTTCTGCTTAGCAGTCAAATGCCATAGACACTATGCCACCAGAGCTTCCAACCATACTTTAAAGGAGCTCTGGTGATGTAATGGGTAAGGCATTTGGCTGCTAATCCACGAGCTGGTTTGTGGGAGGAAGATGAAGCAATCTACTTCCATCGATAGACTTAAAGCTTTGGAAACCCAGTGGGGGTTGCTATGAGTCAGAATTGACTCGATGGCAGTGGGTTTGTTTTTTGGTACCACATTTTAGATGAATGGAGCAGATTAAATAAAGAAAACACCAAAGTAGCTATGCTTAATAGTTCCTGTGAAGAGCTGAGTCAGGAAACCATTATCACTGGAATGTCTTGAGAAAATGTGGTCTTTTATTTGTTAGGATATCTTGCAGCTTTCTTTTGGGACTTCAGACTTTTTTTTTAAAGAATAATGGTGACACACATCCACATGTATAAAGTAACTTCCAGTCTTGGGAACATCTTATTAAAGCCTTGCCTCCAGCAAGTTCAAAGTAGAAGGATGAAGCAGAAAAGGGAATGGTAGGAGTGACTATGGTCTTTCTGTGCCAAATCACCCAGGACTGTTTCACATCTCCACACCTTGGACAGGCTGCACTCTCTCCCCGGAAGACCATTATACTCCACTCCCTTCTCCCTGTGGCTAATCCCAGTTCACCTGTCAAAACTGAGCCCAGGCATCATTTCCTCTGTGAAGTATTTTCTAACTATTCCAGGCTCAGGTGCCCCCTTTGTGTTCCCATAACACCTGGAATATGGAAGTAAGATGTTTTTACTCACACCATGCCTTATTTGCCCTGTGTCCTTCATGTTTCCTAGGTCCCATAAGGGCAGCTGGGACCAGTCTGTCTACATTTGAATGCCACATCTACCATTTCCTAGCTGTGTGACTTGACAAGTTACTTAAACTCTCCATTTCCTCATTTGTAAAATGGGAATAGTAATTCCTGCCTTATTGGGTTGTTTTGAAGATTAAAATGCAATGCACCTAAACTATGTGAGGTATAATAATAATCATAATAAAATAATAATAATAATAACTGTCATTCATGTCCCCACTCCCAAAGGCTAGCACAAAGCCCAGTATGCAGTATATACTTGGTCAATGGGTGTTAAACCGAACTGTGGCTAATCCATTAGCTGTGAGT